ACAAAGCGTGGGATCATGACCTGGGCCGAAGTCAGACGCTCAACCAACTGTTCCACCCAGGTGCCCCAGTTCCTTTCTCATCCTTAATAGGTATTTAATTCTCTGCTATTGGGTTTTTGTTCTGCATCTCCAATGTCTGTCCTTTGTCCATCCAGCCTTCCTTTTTTTCTTTTTTCATCGAGGCATTAGATTTGCACATATGCATTACATGGCTAGAAAAAGAATCCCAGGATTTCCCTCTTGTGGATTTTCATCTTGTTTCCTCCTGCTCCACAATGCCAACTGAGGTGGTCAGTACGATGAACCGAACTGGTAGGATGGGAGCAGATTATTCTAGCATTTTTCTAGATCTTTTCGTTGTACACCAGATCTGGGGCTGGTCATTCTATACTTGTTTAACCTGCCCGTGAGGTCACAACAATTTTCCCAGCTCTGTGACATCAATGGTTTCAGATTTGCCAATGTAACCATGCTTCATCTCCCAGCTAGAAACCCAACGATGACTTTGGAGCATGGCCTAATAAGTACCTGGTGTCTGCCTCTCTCTTCGGCATTGTTGCTGCTCTTGAGAGCAACCGCCTGGATGTTCATGCGCACTGTTACGGTGGCACTGAAAAAACCGATATGTCTTTCTTAACACAAGAAAAAAATGTATTTCCATTTAAATACACAGGAAAGTAAAGTGTATCACATTACTTTTTTGGGGTAGGTCTCCATTTGTGGTGAGGGTTTTTTTCCTTTTTTTAACTGCTTTTTTACAATGCTGGGGAAGAACAAATTGAAACTTTCCTATCTCCTTACCACATTCTCAGTAAGGAGATCCTCCCATATGCCTTCAGTAAAGAGAGTCTGGTGTCAATTTTAAGATGGCAAGAAAAACCATTGAACTGTGCACCTAGGTGGCATTTCCATTCTATAGCTTCCCCAGTGGTGATATGTTCTAAAAACATCCAGCATTGTTTTCTATTTGTGAATCTTAAATTACATGTGTGGTGTTTATATACTCTCATGGTGAACTTAATGTTGAAACCAAATTATATGCTGGTGAAGGGCACTTTGGCCAAATCCCACTGCAGGACCCTAGATGATGGGTTACTAAACAGGCTGACACTGAAGGACGACGTCATGCTAAACGAACGTGCTAAGTGAAAACCGCTAAGGCCGGCTCTCAGAATAGTTCTTTTGCCCACTTGCCTGTGGCTAGTTGGTTGGTTTCGAAATGCCTTTCATTTGTGATGCTTACATCACTGAATGCCTTCATTTGTGAGTGTCGCTCACAAATAATTTTCATTTGTGAATAATTTTCATTTTACATGGTACTTGGCTATTCTAAGGCAAATTGATAGTGAAGTTCTTAAGAAATGGAATCACCACATGCATTCAGTAGTCTTTAGTTTGTAAAGAATTTTAGAGGTTAAAAGGAAATAGGTGGCATTAAGTACCCATTATGAAAAGCCACAATTAGGAAACTTGAGCTAAAATGATAAAACCTAACCCAGACCTAATGAATGAAAATCACGTGTGATTCATATGCACATTAAAGATTAAGAAGCACTGCTCTAGGGGTTCCTGGCTGAGTAAGCGGGGTGGGGGGGGGTGGCGGGGCAGGGCGGCATGTAACTCTTGAGTTGTGAGTGAGTTCAAGCCCCATATTGGGTGTGGAGATTACTTAAAAACAAACAAAAAAAAGGCACTTCTATAGAACTAGGCAGATCCTTTCAGTAGCTCTGCTCTGTTCTTGGCCAGCATCTGATTCATCCTTTTTTTCTTCATGGTCACAGAGTGGCTGCTGCAGCTTCAAATGTCACATCTAGGTCATAGGCTGGAAGTAAGTTGAAGAGGCGGGTCACTCTGTTTATCCTTGATTGTCCAGAAGCATAAACTTTCCTGGTAGCCCCCAGCAGAGTTAACTACATCTCACTGACCACTCCTAACTGCTGGGGAGACTGAAAAGGTGGTGGCAAGAAAGGGAGAAAAATTAGAACAATGAAGTCAAGGGAGGATGCTTGATAAGGAGTGGAACTGTGGGATATCCTTACTTAGTATACATATTATGAGTAAACTTTTGTTTTCTTAGGCCTGAAAATCACATATTTGGGGGAAAGCATAGAGGTATGAACATAGTTCTTTGGCAACGTCTTAGATTCTTATGAAGGTCATAGTTTTAAGCCATTCTGGAAATGAAGAGCATTATCTTTCTGATGTTTCATTCTCAACATAGTGGTGACCAGTGGGAAAACATTTTGAATGGCTCGTGTGTATGAATCTTTGCTAATTGCATGGTGTTGATACAGTGACTGTGTTACTAATGAGAAATTGGTCTCACTGCTTTCTGTAGCTTCATTCTCTGAATGTGAAATGGCTTGGTAAATGAGGTAGAAGGATAATGAGCTAATTAATGGATCTATAAGTAGAATTGAATGCAGTGTGTCATAGCACAGAAGCCTTCTCTCATTTTCGAAGAGGAGAACTTTCATCTAAAGCTAAAATTGTTTTCATTTATTAGAGACCTTCAAATGAGTGGGGGGGCCTTCAGTAAGACTCAAGAATCCCATTGTTTGCTTTCCTGTCTTTGATTTAGGGTAACTGTGTCAATTTGACAGAAGCCTTGTCGCTCTATGAAGAACAGCTTGGGCGCCTGTATTGTCCTGTGGAATTCTCAAAGGAGATCGTCTGTGTTCCTTCATACTTGGAATTGTATCCTTCGACATAACATAACATGACATTATGTTGTTAGATCAGAATACCCAAGTAAATCCCATGCCAGTTCAACATTTTAAATCCCAATAATAAGTGGAATTAGCTCTATACTATCTAAGGCCATGGTCTTCAGATGCGGCTGCACATTGGAATTCCCTGAAGCTTTAAAATAACTACTGATTCCTGGATCACTCTCAGATTCTGGGGTGTGGCCTCCCACAACTCCCCAGATGGTTCTACTGATTAAGCAGCACTGGTTCTCAAAGGCTGTCCCCAGAACTGCAGCACCCCCTGGGAACCGGTTAGCATGAAGATCCTCAAGCCCCACCCTGGCCTCCTGCTCCAGCAGAGGCTGGCAGAGGCTGGCTTGAGGCCTGGTTACCTGCCTGGACCGGTCTACCAGGAGATTGCTGTGCACATAAAGCTTCAGAAGCCCTAGTCTAAAATACCACCTGAGCTGTAGCGGGCAAAAAGAGTAAACATGCTAATTCTATTTTTTTTTTTTTTTAAGTTTATTTATTTTGAGAGCGAGAGCGCATGCACAGGGTGGGGAGGAGCAGAGAGGGGAAAGAATCCCAAGCAGGCTTCACGCTTGTCAGCAGGGAGCCCACAAACCATGAGATCATGATCTGCGCCGAAATGAAGAAATAAAGAGTCGGATGCTTAACCAGCTGAGCCACCCAGTCGCCCCTCATTCTATTTTTTATATTAAAATCATCCTACTTTGATATTAGTTTCTACACTTCACTTGATTCTGATTTGCAGTAGAAACCAATGTTGGTGTTCTTCATTAGTTCCACTTAGTAAAGTTAGTCCAGAGAAATAAAAGTACCCAGAGAAAAGGCAGAATGGGAGCATTGTCACTGGAAATTTAAAATGCGTTTCCTCCTAAAAGGCAGACTTCTAGTCTCCAGATAAAAGCTTCCTTATCTGAGGTGGCCAAGTCTAGTTTCCTGTAACAGCTGTCTTCATTGCTGTCTAGAGAGATCCTGTGACTGCCGCTGGCCTGCAGTGAGGTCCTTGTCCGCAAACCCTGGCAGCCTCTGACAGACACGGGCCTTAGAAAACCCCTAGATCCCCCTGGAAGAAGCTGTGTATGCTGGGCAGCCACTTTCTTTCTGTGGAGATCTCTGATAACTCTCCCCTGACCAACTGTCCACCTTCATCAGGCTTTCCTTCTGGAGCATTTTTTTGGTAGAAATCCAGTTGATAACATTTGGAGAAAAGGCTTCTGCCCTCTGGCTCCACTCCATCCTTCTACCTGTTTTTCCTTCTCTTTCTCCCTCCCTCTCTTTTTCCCACCCCTCTCTTCCTCGTCCACCCCCCAGTCTCTCACCTTCCCACCCTTCCTTGTCATGTTAATTCCCTAAGAAGTCTGAAAGACCTCGGAAAGCAGTAGCATACCTGAGGGAGTATTTGTATGCCTTTAGCCTTGTCCCCATTTGCTCCCTGCTCCTCCCACCGCTCCTCCCCACTGGCGACCCAGTCACAGGTGGTAGGTATGCAGGCTGTTAAAGTGGCCTTGTTAAGAGGACCTAATGCTCATCACTGCAATGCTTTAAGCCTTGAAACTTGCATCCACCTTCCAGTTTGTAGGCCAGCAAACAAATTTTAAATGCTGTCTGTTCTTCCTTGAATTATCTGCACTTATTCCTTGACTTCCTGTCCAGGTGGGTATTTTACACTGTTTGGAAGAAAGCTAACCCTTGAAGACCGTTGTCCCCAATCGTGTGTGCTGCAAATAGCCTTCCTGACCTTCATATGCTGTACATGACATCGAAAGGAGTCAGGCAATTGATTGTGAATTCCTTCAAGTTTTCTTTTCTTTTTAATTATTATTCTTAATTTAAAAAAAGCAAATGGAAAAATGTATATTTTGATGAGCTAGGGTGTTATTTTTTTGAAAGTCAGCTGAAGGATGATTAGACAGCACAGCGAAGGCTGCTAAATGCACTGAACCCCTAGAATGTGATTTTTGTTACTTTCTTTTGTGTGTGTGGGCTTTTTATTTTTGTTTTGGTAGACTTCAAATTTGGTTGTTTGGAGGAATGAACATCATTGTTTTTGTTCTGGAGGGAAGTTCTTGATGGTGTTTTTTTTCCCAGAAAATTGACTTAGTTATTAAAATTTGGTGCTTATAAGAAAGAGTTAAGAAAAAATGAATAGCAATGCTTCAATTAAAGTTATAAATGAGAAATTTCATGTGTTTGTCGTTTTATTTCAGCCAGGTCCCCACTTTCTCACTGCTGATCTCACAGAACAAAGGTGTCTCCTGATCTTTTTTAGTTCTTTTCTATCACTCAGTGCCATTTATCTCTTTATAACAGGATGGCCTTAGGGCCTTTTTGAACAGTAGTAATGACTTCATTTACCCCCGTGGTAAATGATACACAACTTATTACATTCACCAGTTCTTCATTATAAAATTGACCTGAGGATAGGAAAAGATTTGGTCTTACTGGAAAGTTGAAAGTCAGAAGCTTGTTTCTATTCCCATTCTTATTGGTGTATTAGATGTGGAAACACAGAGCATTTTGGATTGCTGCTGTAAAACTTTTTAAGAAGGATTTTAGATGTACAGATAGATGAGAGTTTGTAGAGGCCTGCAATAAGAGCGGCATAAACTCAGTAAGGAAGTGCAGGCAGCTAACAGCTTGTAAAGTGTATTTGTGGATAAGAATCTACATCAAAGGTGAAGGTACACTGACTTGGATTATTAGACATCAGTGGTTATTCTGTTCTTTTTATAACAGCTTTATGTTTTATCAAGGCATTGCGTTCATTTATGGTGAATTTGCAGTGAGGAAAGCATTAAAAATTGAAATATTCAGTGTGTGTTTTGAGAAAATTAGTGTCAACCCAGAACATTCTTCCTCCCAAGATAGGTTTCTCTGACAGATACTCTTTTTTTTTTTAATAGTTTTGTTGTTTTGATTTTATTTTTTTAGGGTTTTATTTTTAAGTAATCTCTATGCCCAACGTGGGGCTTGAACTCACAATCCCGAGATCAAGAGTCGCCGCCAGGCACCCCTCTAACAGATATTCTTTAAAAAATGAGTGCATGCCTACTTTTCTTTTTGATTGGATTGGCACGGAGAAGAAACAATAATGGAATAAAGGGAGAGTTTGTCATGTTGGAACTAGACTGGCTTTCAGCAAATATTTTTCTTGTGCATTGAGCTTTTATAAAAAGCATTGGTAGACAGAGTCCTACCTACTCCCTCAAATTCTTCTGTAATGTTTTGCAGAGGCTTTGTACTTGTATACCGTGTGAGATTAAAAATGGTGGTATTATTACTGTTAGAACACCATTTTGGCTTAACAGATTGGATTTTTTTCCATTATAGGAAAGAAACCAAGTCTATCTGCTATCTGGATGTAGTGTTACTAATAAGTCAGCATAATTTTATACTTGAAGGCTAGCTTTGTGCAGAGGCTAAACCCCGTGATGAGCCTGATGACACACATGTACCGCCGAGAGCTGAGAGTTAGAACTGACCCGGACCAGGCTGTGGCAGACGTCAGAGATACATTCACGAGAGAGTAAAGGGTGTGGGGTGGGAGGAGGAAGGAAAGGAGATTTTTACTTGGGGTGATAATGGTAGATTCTGACCCTGCTCGTTTCTTTGTATTGGAGAAAGGATGATGCCTGTTTTTGAACATCTTTGTAATTGTTTAAAATGAAGCATGCAAACTGATCTCTGATAGCCAAAAACAACCTGTACTTTAGCTGCATTTTAAGGAAATACTATACAATATTAAGTTATTTTATGTTAATGGCTGTTGTGTTTTATATAATCTATAGATAATCTAAAAGAATACTGTTGTATCGTACAGCCACTTTTTAATTAAAGACAAATATTGGCTGTGTGATCTAAATTCCATTCAACACATTAGCAGATATCAAGAATTGGTTTATTTTATTTTTACTGTTTATTTTGAGAATGAGAAAGAGAGTGAGTGGGGAGAGGGGCAAGGAGAGGGGGAGAGACAATCCCAAGCAGGCTCCATGCTGTCTGTTTAGAGCCTGACGTGGGTTTGATCCCACAAATGGTGAGATTCTGACTTTGTGAAACCAAGAGTCAGAGGCTTAACTGACTAAGTCACCCAGGTGCCCCTGGTTTATTTTAAAAAATGGTGCTTTCTCCTAAAAATGTGATTGAGAATTTAAAACACTTGATTAATGGCTGAAGGAAGGCTGGGTTAACAGTGTTTTTCCTGGGTGTGAGCAGTACTGATGTCAAAATAAAAACGTGCCTTCCATTTGCTGCACAGTTGAATCGTCACCTCCTTGCTTGCATTAACTATGGTAAGCTCCAGTGGTCTCAGATTGATGGATTTTGTTCTGTTCCCATGGCTCCTGGGTTAGGGTGAAGGGTGTGTGTGATGTTCCACATCATTGGCCTGTGTTGGGGACTTGAGAGCAGTGCTACTCAAAGCGCGGTCCTTCAACCAGTTCTTTGTTTTTTGAGTATTTTGTTTAATTCAGCTGAACGTCTTGTTCCAAGCAAGACAGTGAAGGAAGCTGTATGCTGATTTACACTGTAGCTGTGCTTCTTCCCTAGTTTGGAATAGCACTTTGAGTGGCACTGTTCTAGAGGCTAGTTAGACAGCATTATTTGATAGGAGCTGCTATGTGTGGTCGTGAAGAGACACTTAACCTGTTTCTGTTTCCTGTTGCTAAGTGTCTTTGTGCTAAATAATCTTTTGTATTGCTATGCTTTGGGCTAATACACCACTTTTATTTACATTATCTTGCCCACTTTTTTTTTTTAGGTTTTATTTTTGAGAGTGCCAGAGCGAGTGGGGGAGGGGCAGAGAAGGAGAAAGGGTCCCAAGCAGGCTCTGCCCTGCTAGCGGGGCTTGACCCATGAACCGCGAGATCATGACCTGAGCCAAAACCAAGAGTCAGACGCTTAACCAACTTGGCCACCCAGGCGCCCCTATCTTGTTCAGTTTTAAAATAACTTTGTGAATTCAGTGTCAGTATCACTGAGTAGGCAGCAATCATAATTTTCAGTGTGTCCCAGAGGGTCCCATAGCTAGTCACAATTTGAATCTACGTTCCAGCGTTCTGAGCCTGCGACAGTGGTTCTTAACCCTTTTTTTTGTACCTTGGACTCATTTGGCAGCTTGATTAAACCTGTGAACCCTTCCTCAGAAACCTGGTTTTTAATATGTAAAGTAGATATGATTATAAGGAAACAAGTGATACTGTCTTTTAAAAATTTATGACTTGGGGCGCCTGGGTGGCTCAGTCGGTTAAGCGTCCGACTTCAGCCAGGTCACGATCTCACGGTCCGTGAGTTCGAGCCCCGCGTCGGGCTCTGGGCTGATGGCTCAGAGCCTGGAGCCTGTTTCCGATTCTGTGTCTCCCTCTCTCTCTGCCCCTCGCCCATTCATGCTCTGTCTCTCTCT